TATATATATATATATATATATATATATATATATATATATAGTATAGTAGAAATACCGTAGCAGTCAGGCATCCATACAAGGCACCATCCAGGTGTAGCTACGCCTCTAAAAAAACAATAAAAATAAAGAATGGCATTTTGTTGTTAATTGTTATTTATTTGTTTTGTAGTTTTTTTCTTCTTTCAGCAGTGTACAGACACCTGCTGTAACCCCAGGGTTTACTGCTACCAATATAATATAAAATATACAAAATAATATTTTATAATACATCAACAGGCAACAATTTATGCAATACAAAACAAAATTAAAAAAAGAAAAACTAAAAACCATCAAACAGAGGGGCCCCTGACGGGGGGCCCCCCGGGGGGCCCCCATACTAAGGGGGAGGGGGGGGCCCCCAAGGTACCCTTTTGGGGGGGCCCCCTAGAGCAACAGGCAGCAGCAGCAGACAGCAGCAAGACATATTGTATTTTGGTATTTATAGGTATTTAAAATGAAAGTGATGTGTAGAAGAAAACATATCGAGGCAGAAACCCTAAACCCTAAACCCTAAACCCTAAGCCCTAAACCCTAGTAAACCCTAAACCCTACTCTTGCGGTGGTATTAGGGATGGCCCCCAATGCCTCTTTCACAAGCCCAGGCCTTGCAGTTTCCAGCTGCAGCTCCAAACCCTAAACCCTAAACCCTAAACCCTAAACCGCCTCATGTGCATCTAGGGTAAGGGGCCTCGCCTGAAGCCCCTGGGGGCCTATATTGTAGACAGCGCCCTGGATGAGGGTTTAGGGTTTAGGGTTTAGGGTTTAGGGTTAAAATTATTATAAACATATATAAACCCTAATATAATGGCTGCTCTGATCAGAGTTGTATTTCTTCTGCTTTCTCTCTCCCTGCTGTCTGTAGATGCGTTTCAGCTGTACGTACACCCCAACGCCCGCTGCTCGCTGCTCAGCAGCAGCAGCACATGCAGCAGCAGCAGCAGCAGCAGCAGCAGCAGGAGCAGACACAGCGGCCACTACAGCAACAGCACCACACCAAGCAAAGGCCCCACCCCTTCGTCTCACGTACGGCATCTAGCAGCAGCAGCAGCAGCAGCAGCAGCAGATGCACATGCAACAACAGCTGCAGGAGGAACAGCAGCAGCAGCAGCAACAGCACAAGTGGATGCGGCTCTGGTGAAGAAACTAAGACAAATAACTGCAGCAGGGTATGGGGCTTGCATGCGGGCGCTGCAGCAGAGCAGCGGGGATTTGACGAAGGCAGTGCAGTGGCTGCGGCAGCAGGGAGCAGCAGATGCAGCAGCAGCAGCAGCTGCTGCTGCTGCTGCTGCAGGAAGCAGAACAGGCAGCAGCGACTCCCTCAAAGAAGGGGTTGTTGCAGTGTGCCGCATGGAAGCCACGCCAGCAGCAGCAGCAGCAGCAGCAGCAGCAACAGACGCAGCAGCAGCAGCTGCTGCACCCAACGCGCCAGCAAAAGCAGCAGCAGCAGCAGCAGCAGCAGCAAATGTAGAGAGAGTTGCTGCTGTTCACGTTGCATGCAGCACCGACTTTGTCAGCCGCAGTGATGTCTTCTGCGCAGCAGCAAGGCGTGCTGCTGCTGCTGCATGCAACTCTTCAGAATTTGCTGCTGCAGCAGCAGCAGCAAGATCGCAGCAGCAGCAAGACAAGCTGCTGCTGCAGCTCATGGCTCTGCCTGTTTCGGATGCTTCAACAGCAGCAGCACCTGCAGCATCTGACGCAGCAGCAGCAGCAGCAGCAGCAGCAGGGGACACAGCAGCAACAGCACCTGCACCTGCACCTGCAGCTGCAGCAACAGAAGCAGCAGCAGCAGCAGCAGCAGCAGCAGCAACAGTTGGTGAGGATTTAGCTTATGCTTCTCGCTTGT